ATTTGCCGTTTATGCTGCATGTTCCCAAAGAATAAATCCATGTAAGCTTCCTATGTTTCGTTTTCGCTTCGTAATGTTCCTTGAAAACCTGAACGCACTTCACCTGAAACAGAAAGTAGCAGGAGAAAAAAGTAAAAAAAGACTCGGTTAATCCATGCATAAACATAGTCGAAAAAATCGGTTATTAACCAAAGAAAAAAGGGTCAAACCATTTCTGCCGGAAGGCGCAAATCACAAGTTTTATAAGTCGGCCAAAATCCGGTAGTGAGAACATTGACGGTCAGATCCATCCCAGGAATTGCAGCATTATTATTGATAAGGTACTCATGGAACTGATTCTGGTTTTCCTTTGCCAATGCTAAATCCGTAACCTAAAAAATTTAAACAATCGAGAAATGTTTTTTAGTTAACAAATAAATAAAAAAATAATAATAATTCTTTCGTTGGACACTGACCATTCCCTCCATCTTTGAAGTAAACTGACCGCCACACTGCTGCTTCAACTTTGTCAAAAAAAGTCTTTCATGGTCATCATTAACATTTCTATCAAAGAGAAGACGACGTGATAGCTTCTTCCTGGAGAACTCGGCAAAAAGGTCTTTGTCGCTGATGTAAGCAAGGAGCTTCACAATCTTATCCATACTTTCATCGATAGCTTCGTCACTTATCTTTTCACTTCCACCCTTCTTGAGAATATAATCGCAGTACGAAGCCAAATGATCCGCATTTGAGGTGCCACAAACAACTTGATTGCAAAAGGACTCAAAAGCTTGCTTGAGTGCCTATATCATATGATCAAAATCCAAATTTTCAAATAATAAGTAACATAATCGAGCAGAATTAAATGAATCGGCTATTCTGAACTTCGAACTCATATATATTACCTTGTGTAAAACGGCGTTGTTGCAAAAGCAACCAGTCGTGTACGCAGAATACTTGTTGTGAAGCTCGATGAATGTTGTCATAAGTGCCTGCATTAAAAGCAAAATCAGATAAAAACAGCCGAACGTAAGAAAGAAAAGTATATCCAATCACCACATGGTAAAGAAATATACATGCTCCCCGCGTGCTCCACCAGCTTTTTCGGTCTGTACAACCACCAAAATTCCCGTTAGAATCAATTACAACAACAATACGACATAATGTGTTCAAACGAAAAGCATAATATTTCGTCGCAAACAAAATCAGCATACCTTGTTACAGGTAGCATCTTCAATCATCTGGATTGCCATCAAACCTTCAGAATGGACATGCTACACCAAGCAAACCCTCATAAGCGTTAGCATATTTACAAAAAGCATTTTTTTTTCAAAAAAACAAATATCACGTAAATTATTGGAATATTACGAACCTCCTTGAAAATTTTGGCAACTTCTTCCAATCCCTTGGGAATATTGTGGAATAGCCTGTACATTCTTGAAAGCTCGTCGACCTTATCATCTCTGAGCAAAGCACGGCATCCAGTCTCCTTCTCCAACAATTGATTTGCATGTACTACCAACAACTCATTTTCAACTTGCTCCAAAAGCTTTGTCTCACTGCTTGAATGCAAGTAATGAGAAACCCGATTCTTTTCCGTTTTCAAGCACTCCTCCACCTTTTATTTATGTAATACTTGGTTAATAAAACAACTGAAAATGGTCGTATTTTTTAACAGAGTTAAAGATGTGATATGTTACCTTTAGCATGTAATCAGGACAAGAATCTTGAAATATCCATTGTGATGCTTTTCGAGAATAGTAATGAGCTGTGTCCTTAAGCATAGCATCTTCAAAATCATCTGTGTAGAATTCAATTTCTCCCTTCCCCATTTCGACAAACACATCAAGCACATTCTTCAATAAAGCCCTGTCAATCTGCCCTCCTTCGCGCTCTTTATTAATCTGTATTACGAGCATGGTTATCTCAAATCCCGACCCCGACATTGTAATGCAAAATATAAACATACACATTGCACATCGAAAACCCAAAAAAAAAAAAAAAGCCTCACCAATGCAATGACGGCATCTTTGGCTTTGTGTTTCACCTCTCCGTAAGCCTATCATCCAGATTTCAAAAACCGAATTAACAAATGCCAAAAAAATAAGAAAAAAGAAGCATAATCATAGGGGAGAAAAAAAACCAACCATGTCACGGAAACAGCTGAACCCAAGATCTTTAACACTTTCAACTTTCTTCCTAACTACAAAATAACGGTCGAGATAGGATAAGAAACGTGAAAGCCACTTGACCATTACTTTATGGTCACTCCATCGTCTTACAAGCTCCCTCAACATGAATTCGTCGTGCTTGTCTCGCAAAGAAGGATTGACCTGATAAACAAAACATCAAATATATTATCTCGAAAAAAAAAAGATAATAGATTGGCAACCATGTTAATAATTACTTAATCGACTCAGATTACATACCGTTGACATGATATACGCCTGAACAGATTCCTTGTAGTTGTTGTAGAGCTGCTGACAAATATAATCATCATCAATGTTATTACGGCCGGCCAGGTTGAACATAGTGCTTTGTTTCGTTTCATGTCAAGGACAAACCATATATATATACACACAAACGCGTACCGTTTTTCTTGTAAACAAAATTCACCAAACTCCGATTACGAAAATAAACAAAAAAAACACATAATAAATTTTATAAAATTATCTGTGAAGGATACGTGTAAAGCCTCATATACTCTTCCGAACTGAATTGCGATTCCAGTTCTTCCAGAATGTTCTTCAATTTAGCGATGCCCTCTTCCATAATAGCCCATCCTTGTTCCATGGCCTCTACATTATTCTCTACATTATTCTTTCTAAGCTTTTTCGATTTCGTCTGCGGCACTCAAAAATCACAATTATTTTCAAAAATACGCCTAACTAAAATCACATCCATCAAATAAAATAAATTACACATACCATGGTTGGGGAATTGGAATTCTCAGCTACGGAAAGTTGGGGTTAACGAAAGAAACGGCGGCGTTTTGTCGACGATGGGAAGCAAAGACGAAGGAAGGCTGAGAGGATGTACAAGTACTGCAAGGTTTATATAGGTTTTTGTGAACGTCTGTATGTATATTGTATGTGTATATATATATATATTAGTCCAACGGGAGGGGAATTTGTTTCCTAATACGAGTCGTTTTCTTCTTCATAAAAAATAAAAATATTAATATTAATAGTAATTATTATTAATAATAAAAGAAAAAATAGAAGGAAAATAGGAGACGTTTTCTTTTCCGCTTAATTTACCTTGTTGTAAGAAATTACCATGTTTGAAACTCAAATATTACCATGTTTGAAACTCAAAAATTAAATATATTTCAATTTCAATAAATAATAAAAAATAAAATAAATATTCGATTTTCAAATTGGAAAATAAATTATTATTTCCAATTTTCCCAAACATGGCTTTACTAAAATACAAAGAAAGAATAAAGCGCGTGGCATGTACGACACCCCTACTTCAATAAAATTGAACTTGGCTGCTGTAGGTAAACGCTTTCACCCAAATTTGCAATTTCGGAGCCCTAAATTCAGTCTTTACCCCTCTCGCCCAAATCGAAATTTTCTCTGTTTCTTTGTTCTTCCAATTCACGTGCTGAAACCCTAATTCGAAATTCTCTGTTTCATTTACGGTTATTTTGCCACTTTTACCTAAAATGCGCGTGTTGTCCCGATCGGGAAACTAGAATTGAAGAGTGGGGAGTCTTGAAAAGAGATTTTAAACGATGGAAATCGTGGTGCCGACGACGACGTCGTACGAAAACTTGTTGGATGCGCAGAAGGATCTCTTCCAGAATCAGATCGAAAAGCTCCATCAAATAGTCGCCACCCAATGCGAACTAACCGGCATCAATCCCCTTTCCCAAGAAATGGTTCGAATTTTATTTTGTTCAGCTGTTTTTGACTTGTGAATTCAAATACTATTGAATGTTTTATATCTGGTTTGCTAACTGATTATCCTGTTTCGTTCATATAAAAAATAATAATACAGGCTGCTGGGGCTTTATCCATTAAAATTGGTGAGTCTTTTGTTTGTTTGTTTGTTCAATTTTCCTTTTCATATGAGTGTTTTTCATGTAACGGCAAATTTAATTGCGGTGGGAGAATTAGTGAGATTGGAGGCTAATTGCATGCGGACATACCTATGCTGACTCGAGAAAATTGTTGTGTGGAGGGTGGGGGTTCATTGATTTTATGTTTGTTGTTTAGGTTTCCCTATGTATTTAGAGTTGCGTGATATATTGTCTGGGTTCTTATTTACCTCGAATTCCGTCTTTTTTTTTTGCTTCAGGAAAGAGACCTAGAGATTTGTTGAATCCCAAGGCTGTAAAGTACATGCAATTCGTATTCTCCATAAAAGATTCCACAAGCAAGCGGGAAACACTGGAGATCAGTGCTCAGTTTGGAGTTACAAAAACTCAGGTTCTCTACATCAATCGGTTAACCTAGAACTCTGTTCGGTGTTTTTCTTTCCAGCTTATGGATTTGTGATATGGCACCATCTATCATTGATGGTGGCCTAACATTTATCTAGAGATTTGTAGGAAAACAATAAGTTGCTCTATGTAATTTCTCTAGTTATTGTGAAGTCGCTGCAGAAAGATTTATCTTAATGATTTTAGCTGCTAATTGATTATTCTTTTTATTTTTATCAGGTCCGCGATTTTTTCACTGGCCAGCGATCAAGAGTGAGGAAGATGGTCCGATTGTCTGGAGAGAAGGGAAATAAATCTACTGCCTGTGATGCAATACACGATGATACTACCTCCCTTTCAGACTCCAATAGGCCTCCGGAACCTGTCCCTTTGTACACAATGGCTCCAGTTCCAATCAATATTGAAGAAGGGCCTTCGTGCTCAAAGAGCGATGATGTTTTATCTGCCATGGGGGACCCAGATCTGCATTTTGTAAATAATATACTTAGTTCAATGAAGAAAGAAGAGTCATTCTCTGAACAGGTGAAATTGTTGCGGTCGATTCTGCGTATGAATAACCCCACATTGATTAATTGGTAAGATACATGACTGTGGAGATTTATAACATGAATTGTCTTTCTGTACGATCTAATTTCTTATATTCGCAGGTTCTTATCTGAAGGTGGCTTGATGATATTAGCAACATGGTTATGTCAAGCAGCTAAGGAAGAACAAACGAGTTTTCTTCGCGTTATTCTGAAGGTACTTCATGTTATATTAGTAGTATTGATCTTTCGCATGCTTTATTTTAATCACTAGCAAGTGGATTGAAATGTTAAGTTGGTACTTTCAGGTGCTATATTACCTGCCGATGCACAAGGCTCTCCCGGTGCATATGTCTGCCATATTGCAAAGTGTCAACAAGCTGCGGTTTTACAGGACATCAGGTGTGTTCCTTTACTTGTAATTGCTCCTTGGGGTTCTTTCCTTCTTTCCTTGAGGAACACTGTCGTAACGAAGATGCTACTAGATATGCGGATTATTTTTATTTGTGTTTACCATTGATAAATTAGACTGCCTGAAGTTCCTTCGTTAGTTTGCTCATTTTTCTCATTTGAAGATCAGACATCTCACACAGGGCAAGAACTCTATTATCTAAATGGAGTAATATGTTCGGAAAGAACTTACCTTTGAAGAAAAGCAATGGGTTGAAATCAGCCAGTGAACTACAGGACGAGATGCTGTTAAAGCAGAGGCAAGCACTTTCTTTAATGCATGTATGTAGAAACAATTTGTCCGCTTTGTCTGAAAGTTATTGTCTTTGAATATGCAGCATTAACGAAGTTATCGGCAATGAATCATGGGATTTGAAAGATAGCTCTGTAAGTGTTTGTTGAATTTCATAAATATATATTTGTTCGAAGCATGTGTCTTTAAGTGCTTACTTTATTCTTAAATCTTCAGGAAGAAGCTTTCAGATTGTTATGCGACAACCCTGATAACCACGGGTATGATTTAAATCAGTTTATTGCATCGAGTTTATCCGCAATATTCTTTTATAAGTAAATAAGTTTTGAGCCAGGAATTTCTTCCACAGGAAGTTGGACAGTGCTCAGCCTCTAAAAATGCTTACGGCATCAGGGGAGGATTCCAATAAACGGCGAGGTGTTTTGTCATCTAGTATCCTTCTTTTTGTTTATGAATTAATCAAAGAACTATACCGGTATTTCTATGTGCATTGAAGTGGGAGCCGTTGGTTGAGAAACGAAACGCGTTGACCTTTTTTTAACTAATGACTACTAACCTGACCCTTCGATGAGACATTGGCACTTTTCCGAAAAAGTGTACAACTGAATGGGTCCATCCCATTCTTGAAATAAATGTCTCACAGAGACTCCCTTTACGAAAAAAGATTAATATTCCAACCATTAAACAATGATTCGTTGGGGTTTGTTGCTAAAATATTGGTATCAAATCCGAAACTCTCCCTAGGTGGCCAGTGGCCCAATAGATACGTACGTATATCTACGTTTATTTACGCTGGACAAGGATCCATTTATTTCCCCTTTTTTTTATATACGATGACTGTCATATTCGCCAAGCCAAACTAGTAAAACCTCCCTCCGAACCAGAAGTGAAAAATCATTGCTAAAACATGTAATAAATTGTTGTTTAATAAAAATTAACAGGGATAAGTTGAATGCATTATTATGGCTACCCTGTAAATTTTGATGTTGGAGCTCGTAAGCTATAATGTGCAAGTTAGATATCCTGACCTTGTTAAATTACTTAAGTAAAACAAAAGAAATTTGCATTGCAGGAAAAGAAAAATTAAATTTGAATTTGAACGAATACTGGACAAGTACGATGATCAGGCATTTAAAAGACACATGCAGATCAGTAAACGACGAGCTGACCTCAGTATTGTTAATAGCTTCTGATGTTTCATGTGGCTATAATCCAACTGTGTTAGTATAGTAGAATATTTTTTCGATTTTATTTATAGCTTCTAGGAGAGATGGCAGCTCCCGATAAGCCTCCCACACTTGTCATCAGTAGATTTTTGCTTAGGGCTGAATCAAAATGTAGATTCTTGATTTTAGACAAGCATTCTACTTGTAAGGACACTGATATTAGGGAGATATAACTTTTTTTTTTTTAATAATTATTGATATGTATGTGAATGGCGTTCTATCTTTTTAATTATATCAAAGGACTCATCATATAACTGGAGATGAGTTACCATTTGTAGTTATTAGGTTGCTAAATATCTAATTTGTCATATTCAGTCCGTACAAGTTTCTTTGTTTGTGTTGAGGTTCCAATGAATTAATTGTGAAGCTTTTAATGCTGCAAATTACATGTAACTGGTCATCTTCTTCCCTGTGAAAATTTAATGAGAAGAATTAAACGTTGATGTTTTATTTGATTAACAATGAGTGAAACGTCATCTTGATTGACTTTTACATAAAACAAAAGACAATATGTTGGACTTCGACTTGGCATTGCTTGTATTGAACCTAGTAAATAATGTTCTTGATTGTCTTGAATTCACTTGCGCCTCTACTGCATCTTTTGAGCCGATTATTTTTCTTGGTTCTTGAAATAGTATGCCCTTAACAAGTTATAGATAATAGAGAGCGTAGGAAAGTTCAGCTGGTGGAGCATCCTGGTCAAAGATTGGCTGTAAGGAGTCCCCAGGTTGCAAGATCAACATCTGCAACTCAAAGCCGCCCTCTTTCTGCCGATGATATACAGAAATCGAAGATGCGTGCTCAATTTATGCAGAGTAAACATGGAAAGGCAATTACAGGGCCCGATGAGAAACTAAAATCTGAAAGCAAGAACACTCTCACCTCCTCGCATGCCAGTTTGCCACCTGTCTCTACACCTTGTGTTCAGACCGAGCTTGAGGAAAATAGGAAATGTGATGAGGAAGTAAGGCCTGAAAGCAAGAATACTGTTACCTCCTCGCATGCCAGTTTGCCATCTGTTTCTACACATTCTGTTCAGACCGAGCTCGAGGAAAAGAGGAAACACGACGAAGCTTTCTCTGAACCTGCTAAACCTCAAGAAGAGCCTCCGAGAAAAAAGCACCAGAGAATCCCGATTCCATGGCGGACACCTCCAGGTATATTTTTATTCACTTATATTTTTGCTGTTATTTTTGTGTCTTTTCTGTTGTTCCAGTTTATGACTTGGCAGATGATACGATGTTGATTGTGCTAAACAGTACTCAGTAAAGTGGTTGGTTATCTCCATTTTTTTTTCTGAAATTAATTGGAGTGCGAGCCTTTTTGCATGGCTCTTCCTATAATGTACAAGTTTGTTTTGCTCAGATTTGTGCTATATTATATTGACAGATCAGAACGAAGAGAAATTAGTTTATACATGTAAAGTGGTTGGTTTTGGTTTCGGTTTCGGTTTCGGTTTCGATTCTAATTGAAAGTTTACTATTAATTTCTTCCATGGACCGTCGGACTGTCGGATTCGTTTTTACTTGCTTAACTTCTGAATGGTACTAAATCAAATTTGGATCCCTAACAGAATTGCTATCAGGTTTTCTGATAAGAATAAATCTGCAATTTACTGATTGGCCATTCAAATTTAACAATTTTTTTCTTCTTTGGGGGTAGATTTCAGAAATTGTTGGATACGTTCATTTGAAGTTTTTGTACACATCCTACGTTGTGGCCCTTAGTTGATCTCTGTTAATACATACTGAGCTAAATTACGGAGTTGCTATATAAATTGAAGGCGAAATTACATTGCACTGTTAGGGGTAAAACTTAACCATATTGTGAATTAACGTGCTATTATTTGGAATAGTTGTATCCTCATGTGTGAATGTGCTGAAATGGAGGAAGTGTTACACAGATGTTTGGACAGCAATTACCAATTGGTTTCTCTTGTTAACTGACATTGTTGACCATAATTCCCATCAATCTTTTGGTAGGATATTATCTCCATTTTAGACAATTAAGAACAATGTGTGCCACTTGTCGATCTCGATACAGTATTTTCTTTTGGTCAATTTCCAGAAGCAAATCCAATGGCAATTTAATTGTCATTTTTCGTGCCACTTGTCAATGTGCCAGAACCATGATGTGATGTAACCATCGTTAGTTTAGAAGTCATGCAATTTCATCAAATTGATTATAAAGCCATTTTTTATTATATATATATATGAAAAAAAAAAAGTTTCATTAAAAACGCTCAGCAATTATTCTTCATTGATGAAGATTATTTGTTTCTTAGCAGCGAACAATCAATGGTGGTAGTATGATATTATTCTTTATGGTTGACCAAAAGATACGTGTATTTTGAAAATCAGAAGCAAAAAGAAAATAGGCAGTGTTGATACGTGTATGTGAGAGTGGAAAATTACATGAGTGTGTATATATTCAATCTCATTAACTAGTTGTTATAATATGCAGTTGATAATTCATTACAGGCTGGTTCTTGGCCTTAAGTTAGGTTCTTGTAATATATTCACTCGAGTTTGCAGTACGCGTATCAACTTGTTTATGCTTTTCGGGTTCTTGTTTGATAAAGGGCCCACACTTTTTTGTCTTTATTTTTTGTAACATCTAATCTGAATATTCTTAGTCACTGTGAACTAATTTAACAATTAATGATCACTTACAAAAGACATTTGGCTTGTCTCATGCAGAAGTGAAAATAATGGAGTCATGGTCTGTGGCTGAAGGGGCCAATAGCAAAGAAGTCGAAGTTCAGAAAAACAGAATTAGGCGCGAGAGAGAAATATTTTACAGGTCATTTCAAGAAATCCCATCAAACCCAAGAGAACCGTGGGACCGCGAAATGGACCCGGACGATACATTAACCCCTGAAATCCCAATCGAGCAGTTGCCAGATGTCGAACCGTCAGAAACCCTATCTGCTTCTGCCAATAACGAAACCTTATTATCTGCATCGTCTGAGAATAATATCCATGAACCGGATCTTCAACTGCTGGCTGAGTTGTTGAAAAATCCGGAATTGGTCTTTGCGTTGACTTCTGGGGGAGGTGGCAATGTAACGAGCGAAGCTACTTTGAAACTGCTGGGTATCATCAGAAAGAATGGTGTGGGTTCGTTGGCTAATTTAGTGGGGAAAGCTGATGTTGATGAGGTTGTGGTTTCTCTACCGTCTCCAACTCCTTCGACCAATCATGTTCCGGTGCGTAATTTTAGCACTATTTTTGTACTCAACTTCAAAAAACTTTACGGAATTATTTCCAACATTTCATTTCTCTTGGGTTTGTGTGCATTTAGCATAGGGAAGAAACGAAATAATCAAATTGCACAAACTTTAAGTATATCTACTACTACGTATGATACAAAGGGTACATCGAGGATGTTGTGCATTATTGGCAAAAAAAGAAAATGACAAAAAAAAAAAAAAATTCTTAAAAACGGAGTTACGTTCCGTTCGAGTACAGTGCATAGTTCCGTTTGAATCTTAAATGACCATTAGAAAACTAGAAGCACAAACCCAGAAGTAGAGAAAGAAAAGAGAATCCAATTTACAGATTAGAGAATAGTTTTATATGTAATATGATACAATGACGTCTTGATTTTCTTCTTCTGCATAATGGTGTTAACTGTTTATTTTTTGGGAAAAAAAAAATCATTATTGATGCAGAATGGAGCGAAGCAAGACTTTTCAAGAAACCCATTTTCTCGTCAGCCTGCATCGGGAATCGGCAGCACATACCATGCCACCGGAGGTGCTCTTCCGATCCGGCAGCCTCAAATTCCGGCACAAATGGTGGTGCCGCCGCCGGTAGCATCTCTACAAACTAATACTACTCAATTAATGAGTGAACATTGGCAGGCACACACAAATTCACAAATGCACCACCAAAGTATTATTCCACCTAATTCTTTCAATACACAACAACATTTGCTAAATGCCAACTCTAATCGGGCCCCACCGAATTCGTACGGTTCATCATCTTCCCATACAAATTGGGGCGAACCCTCCTCAGGCAATATTAAGCCATCACCCGTTTCTATATTAATGCCACCTTCTCGATCCCTCACACCGCCACATCATCAAAAGCCAGCACAAATGCAGGATCCATTTGGAGCAAACTATCGCTATCAAAATAATCAAAGTGTGGGCAACTACGATGCTTACGCTGGAGGTTCAGTTCAGGGTGGTAGAAGTAGTAGACATGCAGGTGGGCCCGGATTCGAGTCGTGGAGCCCGGATAACAGCCCGTCTAGACGTCACGAGTACTTACCTGGCCATTATTATCAAGATCCAAATGTGAATGCAAGAGCAATGCAGCAAAATATGGGGCAGCCTTCTGATTATTATCAAGACCAGAGATTTGGCGGGCCCGCAAATAGACGATGGCCCGAAAATCGAAGATAGTGGTGATCCTTTTCTAACATGGAATCTTATACGTAGATGGATAAGGTTAAAATGGGGGATGTCGTAGAGAAGCAATTTTTGCTGTTGAAATGCTTTCGGAAAAAAACGAAAAACAAAAATACTTGTACTCTTTGTATGGAGAAAAGATATAGAGGACATTCTTGATTATTGAAGCTTTGAGTTTTTTCTTTTTCTTTTTTTTTTATCCATTGAAGTATGATGTTTGGTTTAGTATGATAAATGCTGATTAGATTAAATAATTAACTGCGGTTTAGTTAATCAATTTACAGAGGGGTAAATTATGCAAGAGAATAGTTGACAACTAATAACTTCACAAATAGAAAGCGCGCTTCGAGTTGGGTTCTCTTGTGGGTCAAGAAACACGTTTTTAGAAATGGGGTTTGCTTACATCAAACGCTAGTAATTAATACCAGCTCGCTCCAATTTCTGGAGAAATTCCGAAGAAATGGGGTTTAGGTTCTTCATCAATTTCAACCCAATTCAAAAATCATGCACATCGAAAATCAGATCATCGTCTTCACATGCTTATTCTAGGGTCGTTGTGAATTCTCGTCCTCGCTCAACTTCTGAGAACCCAAATTTGAAGATTCAAAGGCGGTGGCATGTGGGCCACTCCCACGGAAACGACGGTGGCCAGGGTTTTCGTCCGGGGAAAGAGGGCGAGAAGATTTTCCGTCTAGGATTGGCGGCGGATATTGGACTGGCCGCCGGAAAAGCTGTTACTGGATATCTCTCCGGCAGCACTGCGATCATCGCTGATGCTGCTCATTCGGTTTCAGATGTGGTATACTTATAATTGATTTTTTCTCCTCCTCTGTTTTTCCTGTTGGTTGGTTAATTGAGGTTGTGTTTGGTCTCTGATTGTATATATAGGTACTGAGTGGGGTGGCATTGTTGTCTTTCAAAGCTGCGATGGCACCCAAGGATAAAGAACATCCATATGGTCACCTTTGATCTGTATCTACGCACTCCTGGTTCATTATTCTATATGTTTTCTAGCTTCATCGTTGTATTTTCATTTCATTTTTTTTAACTATTTTTGTTAAAAACAAAAAATAAGAAGAAATAGAACAGTTACAAGGACAATTCATCTCGTCGAACGTTTGTTCTCTGTCAAATTTTCGGCCAACTTATGTTGTACATGCTATATATGTGGTAAATTGAGAAATATCTAGTGTTGTAAGATCTAGGCTTCTATAGATTTTCCATCGTGTAGACCTACAAGATCTAGAATCTTCTTGTGTATTCCTGATAATTAGCCCGTGTTATTTTTCGGAAACACAAAATTTCTCTCAATCAAGAAATTGCATAGAGCATATAGGCGCAAAATATAAGTGCTGTTCTTCCTATCTGTGAGTCCAGATACATACTTCAATACACTATTGGACCGTCCAGCTCATACTATATAATTATATCGACAGTTTGTAATCAAGAATCATATTGGCTGGTTCGTTCTTTTTTATTGCAAGATGTTGACTCATCATTCGTGTTAAACTAACTGCTTTCTTAAACTTTTTGAATGCATTTATTTTATATTATAATTCATTGTACTCTGCAATCCATCTTTCAGGACACGGCAAGTTTGAGACCATAGGAGCCCTCGGAATTTCTGGTATGCTTTTGGTAACTGCCGGTGGTATTGCTTGGCATGCTTTAGATGTCCTTCAGGTATCTTTCTACGCTATAAATATATGTATATATATAGACAGATATACATTAATGTAGTGTATATCTGAGCTGTGTTGAATTGTGAATACTTTGCACATGTAGGTAATAGTAACAGCTGCTCCAGAGATAGTTAATCAATCCTTGGCTCACAATCACGCACACGGTGGACATCACCATGGAATTGACATGGCCCACCCAGTTCTAGCATTGAACATGACTTTAGTATCTATAGCCGTTAAAGAAGGGTATGCAAGTCTTTTTGTCATTTCCATTTACCTCTGCAAATCTAACTTGTATTCTCTTATGTCATTCTTGCCACGTGTCTAAAATTGTTTTTGTATTGGCTTCTGTGCGTAATTTGTGTTAACAAAGGCTATATTGGATAACAAAGAAGGAAGGTGAAAAGACGGGCAGTGGGCTAATGAAAGCCAATGCGTGGCATCATCGATCGGATGCTATTTCATCAGTAGTTGCTCTCGTTGGGGTTGGTAAATATTTTAATCTTTTGGAACTGATTTCAATTATTTTTGGCACCGTTCAATGCTATCTTTACAATTAGTAATAGTTTTAATCGTGACTTGCAAAAATAGGTGGATCTATTCTTGGGGTTAGATTCTTTGATCCTCTTGCTGGACTTCTTGTTTCCGGAATGATCTTTAAAGCGGGACTTGAAAGTGGTTACCAGAGGTATATTATAGTCTCAAATGAAAATCTCAACTTTAATTTTGTGAAAATGATTACTATGCGAACGAAATAAAAGTTTTGTCAATGTTTGCGTTTAGTATCTTGGAGTTGGTGGATGCTGCTGTTCCATCGGAAAATCTGGAACCTTATAAACACACAATATTGGGGGTCGATGGAGTCAAGGCAAGTCAATTTTCAATTCGGCTTCAAATTATAAAAAAAATAAAAATAAATAAATAAATAAAAAAATTCATTGTTGATAATGTTATTGTGATTGTAGGGATATAATCACCTTCGAGGAAGGCGAGCAGGATCGTCGCTGTATCTTGATGTAGATGTTGAGGTTTGGTTTTTTTACATTTTCTGAACTACTATTATCGACTTGTCATTTTAATTTCATGGTAGATATTAGTGAAATTACTTATTTGTTTGTGAAGGTGGATCCATTTTCTAGTGTTAGCGGTGCGCATGATGTTGGGGAAAATGTTCGACGTCAGCTTCAGCAGTCTCATCCAGAAGTAGCTGAAGTCTTCATACACATAGGTTATGACTTATGACAGCCTCTCATTCATCATAATATTCAATATTGTGAATAGTATATTTCCAGATGATATAATTGACATTTTGTTAGGGTGAAAAAAATATAAAATCCTGTTTTGATTTTCCTGCAGAGCCGGCAACTTCACATATATCGGGAAGTGTTATTAATCACCAAAGAGACTGTAAGATCTCAGTTCATCAGAGTGATGCCGACTTATTGGAGCACACAGATATTGAAGATTCCGTTTCCCAAATTTTGTCCTCCAATTTCTCAGAGGTATCGGCCTTTTTTTTTCCCTTCATATTTTTTGGTCTCTGTGCTGATCCATTATCATGATAACTGAAAATGATTTAGTCTATATGTCGACAGATCTTGAAAGTATATATTATACATAGAGATTTGTTATTTCTTTTCAGTGCAGTATCATCGGTTTCCCTATAGAATTTTTGAGTGTATATATTATAACAGTCATATTTCGATCCTCCAATTCCATGATTTTACAACAGTCACATTTTTTCAATGGTTTGCAGAAAATGGCAGTCCAGCGCATCACTCGCCACTCGTTTCATGGGCAGATTTTTCTCGAAATTGAGGTATCCATGCCCCCCGACACATTAATTAGGTAAACTTTTACATGACTGATCAGACTTTTCCCCTTTTCGGTTTATTTATTTATTAAAAAATAGAATTATATTCGACTTATATGCAAAAACAGGGAGGGTGTAGAGGTAGCAAAAGAGGCTGAGGAGAAGATTATGGAGGTATTGCCTAATATCATGCAGGTCTCTATTCATCTTCGACTAGGTCGCCCAAGGCCCGACTTTTCAATCTGATAATGGATGCTTCTCTACTAAATAAATCACTGCCGATTTTGTAGACATTAAATCGAGATATATTCCCTCTGTAGGGTTTCTACCCGAAGAAAGCTTACAATATGAAACACTCAAAATAGATGTTAGTAAAATCACAAGATAAATAAATATGAATGTATGAAAACAGAAGTATGAGATTGAAGACAGCTCAGTCTTCCAAACCAATTCACACACACAGATCCACAAAGGTATCCACTGTTACACACACACACACAGTCTAGGATTGCACCATACTCAGAACCAATCCTCTCTCTGCACTCAAACCCCTTAAACCACCCAGATTATCAGTAAGACCACGAAGAAGATGCACTCAGCTTCTTACCCACTCACCACAGACCCAACTCACAGAAGAAGAAGGCAAGGTGTTTGAATTTAGGGTTTCAATCTAGGTCTTACCCTCTGCCACACATCTCTCCGCATTAAATAGGGACTCCAGTCAAAAGGAGCCGTTGAAGAGACAACCACTGGGACAAGCACGGCCAAGGACGGCGGCGAATGGCCCATGGTTGCTGGAGCAAAAGAAGAAAGAGGCAGAGGGGGACCAAAGGAGAGAGCAGATGTTGTCTAGGGCACAAAACGGGAAAGGGGGTACAGAGAGAGGAAAGGTCAGCTATAATGAACGGCTGAGATCACACCAGAACCAACGGTTCAGATCTAAGCCTTCTAGCACATTCCCACTAATGGGCTGGAATTAGTCTGGATGGGCCTTTCCGAATAGACAAGTGTGTGTGTGGTGGAAATTGGGCTATAGGCCCAAGACACATTTGGGCCACAACCACAACAAATCTCCACCTTGGACCAAAGTGTATCATTAGTGAATTTTATGGTTTATTGGAAGTCATCATTGCTGTTTTTGATATACAGGTAAAACACAAAGTAGTACAAGTATATCTTTCTGATTTTCACATAGAAGGTCAGAAGGAGATGTCACATAGACAAAACATGTAGCAGTTCACAAAGAAAAGACATGAACACAATCAGTCACAAAGACAACACATAGACAGTCACAAAGACTGTAACAAATAAGAAATAGCACACAGCATTTTAATCTTGGGAAATTAGGTTCAAGTTTTTCAAACAAGAACGAAATTTCTCAACTGGTAAGCACTTAGTACCCATATCAGCAGGGTTGAACTCTGAGGGAATTTTTTCAAGGTCAATAATCCCTTCTTCCACAATACTTCTAATAAAGTGAAATTTAATCTCAATATGCTTAGTTCTATCATGGAAGACAGGGTTTTTGCACAATTGTATACCAGACTGACTGTCAGAAAACACTACCACTTTGTTCCTGTAAAAACCAATTTCAATCAGCAAGCCTTTAAGCCAGATAGCTTCTTTGAAAGCCTCAGTTGTGGCAACATATTCTGCCTCAGTAGTAGACAGAGCCACAATGCTTTGAAGCTGAGATTTCCAGCTTACACAGGAACCATTCAAAGTAAACACATAAGAAGTAGATGATTTTCTGCTATCTCTACAATTTGCAAAATTAGAGTCCACATACCCACAAAGTTCACTCTCAGTTTTACACTTAGAAAACAGCAAACCAAGTTTAACAGAACCTTTCAAATACCTAAGCAACCACTTAAGAGCCTCCCAATGAGGCAAACCTGGATTAGACATATACCTACTCAAAAAACTCACAGAGTAAGCAATATCTGGTCTTGTGCTGACCATTAAGTACATAACAGACCCTATAGCATTTGCATAAGGCACATTTTTCATCTCAGACATTTCAGGTTCAGTCTTGGGAGACTGTTCCCTACTTAACACAAAATGGGCAGCAAGAGGAACAGATACAGGTTTTGCAGATTGCATAGAAAATTTCTCAAGGATTTTTTCAGTGTAAGAAGATTGATTAAGAAACAATGAACAGCCTTTTCTATCTCTGATTATGTCCATGCCAAGTATTCTTTTAGCATTTCCAAGCAATTTCATGTCAAATTCATCACTAAGACATTTAATGACATAATTGATTGTTTTAATACAAGGGCTGGTCAGAAGCATATCATCCACATAAAGGAGCAAGAAGACAGGAATTTTGGCAGAGTGTTTGAAATACAAGCATGGGTCATGTGAACTTCTCAAAAAATTTAAGGATTTCATGCATGCATCAAATCTTTTATTCCACTGTCTAGGGGACTGCTTAAGACCATACAAAGATTTTTTCAATAAACACACATAATCAGGATGTTTCACATCAAGAAAACCTTCAGGCTGTTTCATGTATATTTGCTTATCTAATTCACCATGGAGAAATGCAGTTTTCACATCCATTTGTTTTAACTCCCAATCAAATTGAGCAATTAAGGCAAGCATAATTCTCACAGTAGTAAATTTCACAACAGGAGCAAATATCTCAGTATAATCAATTCCTTCTCTTTGGGTGAACCCCTTAGCCACTAGCCTAGCCTTATATCTAAGTGAATCAGATTCATGTTTAACTTTAAACAGCCATTTACAGTCAACTAATGAACATTCAGCTGGCTTTGGCACAAGAGTCCAAGTATGGTTAACATGCAAAGATTCAATTTCTTCATTCATAGCATTTAACCAAGACACAGATTCATTAGATTTAAGGGCTTCCCTATAAGACTTAGGTTCTTTACCATCCAGAGACTCAAAGACATGAAACACATAAGATGCAAGCTGATAATCATCTAAATGATGAGGCCTAATGATGTTTCTTCTACTTCTGTCCCTAGCAAGTTGGTAATCACCAAGATTTTCCACATCAGGCACATTAGTATCAACATTTTGATCAAACACATCATTTTCAGGCACATTATTATCAGTTTCACTATCAGAATCAGATATAGTTTCATGTTGAGCAGGTATAACAGGGGAAGTCTCCACCTCAGCAGAGGTAGACTCAGAAGAAATAACAGACAAACAAGGAAACTCATTCTCATTGAATATCACATTTCTACTTATAACAGTTTTAAACCCCTGTTCCCCCTTAAGCCAGCACCTATAACCCTTAACCCCTTCTGGATAACCCAAGAAAACACATTTAACAGACCTGGGATCAAGTTTATCATGTTTCTGGTGCACAAAAGCAGAGCAACCAAATACTCTAAGATTAGACAAACTAACAGGAATACCAGACCACTTAGTTTCAGGTAATTCACCACATAGAGGCACAGAAGGTGATCTATTGATCACATATGCAGCAGTTAAAATAGCTTCACCCCAGAACATTTTAGACAAGCCAGATGAATTTAACATGGACCTAACTCTATCAAGTAATGTCCTATTCATCCTCTCAGCAACACCATTTTGCTGAGGGGTGTAAGCTACAGTTTTATGCCTCTTTATGCCAGATTCAACACACAATCATCAAATTCAGCATTACAAAACTCAGTTCCATTGTCAGTTCTCAAGGTTTTAATTTTCTTCCCAGTTTGATTTTCAATTAAAACTTTCCATGCTTTAAATCTTTGAAACACATCAGATTTATTTTTCAGCAAGAAAACAAACACTTTTCTGGAAAAATCATCAACCACAGAGAGAAAGTATATATTACCACCATGACTAGGAACAGGGGCAGGGCCCCACACATCAGCATGTATATATTCAAGGATATCAGTGCATTTTGAAGAGTTAGGGAAAGGAGACACAGGAAATTGGACCTTAGTCTGTTTTCCTAAAATGCATGAGTCACATATGGGCAGATCAGACACACAGTCATTGTCAAGATAATTGTTTTTATGCAAAAGCTCAAGCCCTTTAGCACTTATGTGACCTAACCTCCTATGCCAAAGACTAGAATGATCATGTTTAACAGAATTAGCATGCAACAAGGGTTCAGCAGAACACACATACAAATTTTGCATTCTAACAGCTTTAAACACAAATTGATCACCTTTCATAATATTTTGGCAACCATTTCCCCAACTACCATGCAGACCACTATCCTCAAGAACAGCCACAGAAAGCAAATTACTACTCAGATTAGGAACATGTCTCACATTTTTAAGCATAAGTTCAAAACCAGATTCAAACTTAAGGATAATAGTTCCTAAACCAACCACATTTACACCACTGCTATCAGCCATAGACACATTGCCATTTTTTAGTTCCACATAGGATGTAAATAGGTGTCTATTAGGTGTCATGTGGTGTGTGCATGCAGAATCAAAGATCCAATTATTATCACATAGAGATGAAATCACAGAGTTCACACAGTCATGCACAGACTCACCAATCATGAAAACATCACCCAGATTGTCAACAACAACATTAGCCTGTTCATTATTCTTATCCTTTTTAGGTTCAGTACATTCATTTGCATAATGACCAGGTTTACCACAGTTATAACATTTTCTGCCTTTGATCTTGTTCTTACTCCACTCTTTGCCCTTTTTAGGTTTTTGAAAAGACTGATTTTGGTTGTTATTACTGGAAGAGGCCTTGTGTTGAAACTTGAATTTAGGCTTTCCTTTCACAAAGTTAACATCACCAAAAGATTTGTGACCCTTATTGGTTCTTAAATCCAGTTCTTTGCTTTTCAAACCATTTATGACAGTGTCAAGAGTAACCTGATCTCTACCATACTTAATAGCAGATTTTACATCACTATAAGTGTCAGGAATTGCATTTAAAAGCACAATAGGAGTATAATCATCAATGTTTTTATCTCCAGTTAATTTAATGTCCTGAACTAGCTTTGTAAAAATATCCAGATTCTCATCTATATCTTTACTCAAATCCAGTTTAAATCTGAAAAACTTTTCAAGTAAAAACATTTTTGAGGGCAAAGAGGTTTCAGTGTACAGATCTTGCAGTTTTTCCCATAAAGCTTTAGCATCATCTTGCTTTCCTAATTTTCTAATCACAGAGTCACTCAAATTCAAGATCATCAAAGAGTAAGCAAGTTCATCAAATTCAGCTTTCTTAGCAGCAGGTGTGGTATCTTCATAGTTTAGAGTAATAGCTTTAAAACATTTTTGCTGAACTAAAACACCTTTCATTTTCTGTTGCCATATAGAAAAGTCACCTCTCCCATCAAAAGGAGCAAGAGGATATGCATTCATGATTCACACAGATGAAAGGCACAGAATCACAAGAAATCACACAGAATCACACAGAAATCACACAGAATCACACAGAAATCACACAGAAATACAGAGTAACACAATAGATAATCAGATTGCCCCCCCCCTTTCCAGATTCCTGCGACACTAGGTGGTCCGGACAAGAAAGGGTTTGCTGAGAGCAATCCTAAGCTACACTAACAGTAGGAATAATTGCGGAAAAATAAACCACATATAGAGCTGGAAAATAAATCAAGTATGAGCACATCTGCCACACAGGGCCAAGTAATGCCACACAGGGCCTCCACGCCACACAGGGCCAACTCAATGCCACACAGGGCTCCCAACCTCCACAGGAATAAACCAGGAAACGAAAAAACTAGGGTTTCAGAGTGACTTACCTTATCAGAACCCAGTTAGGTTCTGTAAGCCTTCTTCAAGCAGATCTTCGAGCAACCAAGCTCTGATACCACTGTAGGGTTTCTACCCGAAGAAAGCTTACAATATGAAACACTCAAAATAGATGTTAGTAAAATCACAAGATAAATAAATATGAATGTATGAAAACAGAAGTATGAGATTGAAGACAGCTCAGTCTTCCAAACCAATTCACACACACAGATCCACAAAGGTATCCACTGTTACACACACACACACAGTCTAGGATTGCACCATACTCAGAACCAATCCTCTCTCTGCACTCAAACCCCTTAAACCACCCAGATTATCAGTAAGACCACGAAGAAGATGCACTCAGCTTCTTACCCACTCACCACAGACCCAACTCACAGAAGAAGAAGGCAAGGTGTTTGAATTTAGGGTTTCAATCTAGGTCTTACCCTCTGCCACACATCTCTCCGCATTAAATAGGGACTCCAGTCAAAAGGAGCCGTTGAAGAGACAACCACTGGGACAAGCACGGCCAAGGACGGCGGCGAATGGCCCATGGTTGCTGGAGCAAAAGAAGAAAGAGGCAGAGGGGGACCAAAGGAGAGAGCAGATGTTGTCTATGGCACAAAACGGGAAAGGGGGTACAGAGAGAGGAAAGGTCAGCTATAATGAACGGCTGAGATCACACCAGAACCAACGGTTCAGATCTAAGCCTTCTAGCACATTCCCACTAATGGGCTGGAATTAGTCTGGATGGGCCTTTCCGAATAGACAAGTGTGTGTGTGGTGGAAATTGGGCTATAGGCCCAAGACACATTTGGGCCACAACCACAACACCCTCATATATCATATTCGGTGACAAGAAAATACTGATGCTATGCTGAGTAATGTAGAGTTTTCGATCTTAGCATGTTTACCGTTGCAATTTCCAGCTAACATTGTAGTAATTGGAAATCTGTTGCTTCTATTTCTGCATATTTGAAAGCATTTAAATACACGATCTTTAATCGATTCCAACAAACATCGTATCTAATGATTATTAGCTGATCAAATAAATAAACTGCAAGAAAAGAAAATTGACAAAAGGAAAATTCCTAATCACTGTTATTTTGAAACTAATACATATATAATTTAAGTGCATGTAAAATCCCATCCCTCCATAATTAGAATGTGTTGTAGAGTGGCTTTTCACCACCATGATCAGAATCTCCTTGGGAGAGCTGCTGTTGCTGCTGCTGCTGCTGCTGATTATGAAAAGGATTATTATGCATTAATTGCATAATCTGGTGTTGATGATTATGATCCATCTCCAATCTCTGATCATGCATATTATTAGAACCCCCCACTCCCATGAAATCGACGGTCGTCATATCGTTCCCTCCTCCAAATCTCGCCAGATTTCTTGCCCCCATCATCATACCATTATTACCACCGTTGTTCCTTCCTTGCAAAATCCCACAGCTCTGATCACTACCCTCCTGCACTTCCACCGCATTCTTCAAGAATATTCCGGCAGCAGGCGAGTTCTGATCGCCGTTGCCGCCGCCCATCAGCATTCCCCCGTACATCATCATGTCGCTCATGGCCGAGCCGCCGCCCTCGAATAACAGCTGACCCGCAAATCCTCCTCCTCCGTTGAAAGGCGGCGGCGCTTGCTCGTGTTGGCCGCCATGGTGGTGGTGGTGGAAGTTGTTGTCATATGTGGGCCTGGATACTGGGCCGGGTCCTTGATCCGGGCCGGCCATGGTGGTGACGAAGGTCTTCTGGATCATGGGGGAGTTCATGGAGTTGGTTGCGGAGGCGCCCATTTGGGCCGCCTTCTGCAACAAGGCCGTGGCCGACATGTGGGCCGAACCGGAAGCAGGGCCCGGGTTATAGCCCGGTGAGGCGGCGTTGGAGCTGAGGTGGAGTCCGGAAGACGATAACGGGGTGCCAAACAGGGCACCTGAAGCGGTGGAGAACATGTTCATGGGCTTGAATGGAGTTGGTATGAGTTCTTGAGGAAGTGATTTAAGTGGGTTGTTGTTGTTGTTGAACTCGGGTAATCCCATGTTTGCATTTGTAGACAAGGGAATGTTTGGCATGATTAGATCAGGCAGTTGGGATTGCCCCGATATTATGCCATGGTGATTAACTTTGCTGTTTTCTTCGGCGAGTGCATCGCAGAATGCACGGTGAGTAATGAAGCTATCTCTCCTGGAGAAAATAGTACCACAATCACATTTGTATTCCCTGGTCCCACATGTCTTCTGGTGAGCCTTCCAATCGGATTGGACAGCGTACTTCTTCGAGCATTTATCGCACTTCCATTTCTTCTCGCCGTGTTTCCTGCTAAAGTGCTTCTTTATCCCAGTCAGATCTCCCAATGCACGTGCCGGATTGTGGTGCACGCATGTCGGCTCGGGGCAGATGTAAACGCGCTTTCTAACCTCGGTCGTGCTTCGTTGCCTTAGCTTCCACGGCAGATTGTGACCCCTTCTGTGTAGCTGCAGATTTTGGTCCCTTTGGAACCCTTTGTTGCATATTTCGCACACGAATCTGTTCGTCGCCATTAGCGTTGTTGGCGATAGTGCTACTACTTCTGCCGTCGGATCTTCATTTTTTTCGTTTTTTTTTATTTGTAGAAGAAAAAAAAACAATTGTCAAAAAAAAAAGGATGGGGAAAGTGCAATCAAGAATAGTGTGTGGAGGTAGCAATTATTGTGATATTGAAGCCATGCAATTATTGGAGCCTTTTTTAGATAATGACTTCTTGTGATTAATTAATTTCTTAAACACAATTATAATATTTTTAACAATATTTTGGAGTGAGAAATTAAACTACATCCAACTTTTTTCATACTCAACTTCAAGATCAGCATACAATAAAAGGTATATATAGTTCCATAAAAGGGATGAGATGTATGTATGCAAAGGCAAATTAATTAATTAGTTAATTATAAAATTGCCTGGATTTCCTGGTAAATTTCGTTTCTTCTTAGCTGCTGATGCAGAGGCTGCCGGCGGCGAGGGTGGGGGTTGTTTGCGGTGGTGGGAGGTGGAGGAGCCATTGCTGGTGGTGGAGGGGAGTGAGTGTTTTTCTTGTTGCTGTTGTTGGACTTCACCTGAGGAGAAACTCCCCTCATCATCACCTGTAATATTTGACATTTTATTTATTTTTTTATTTATTTTTATTATATATGTAAATTAAAATCAAGACTCTCTCTCTCTCTCTCTCTCTCTCTCTCTCTGAATTTGGTCTCCTTTGGCTTATATGATATATATATATAGTAGTAATAGTTATGAGATAAGAAAGACAGATGATGTAGATATCCCTTATTTAACTTTGTTTACACTAATTAATATTTAATTTATTAGATGGATTTGTAAATGCTACAATTTGATTGAATTATGTGGATTTGTGTAACTTATGTATGGATGGACCTCTACATACTTGTATAGTCAGATATAATATACATTTTTACAACATAAGTTCGAAGGGGTCGAATGTATTAAAAAAATTATAGGGGAGCCGTAATGCTTTTATACATGATCTTTTTTGTATTTTATATAAACTAATAGGATTTTTGACAAATGTTGGGGGGCATGTGGCCCCCCTTTTCATATGCTGACTCCATCACTTCTTACACAGTTTATACATAATCACTATATATATGTGTATCTAAGCTAAATTGGTTGTTTTTGGCCATGTCTATTTTGTGCTTTATCTTCATATTTGTACTTAGAGAACACATCCGGTTTGGAGCCATAATTGGTCTTATTTGAATCACGGGATTGATAAAACCAAATGAGTTTGTATTGTTTCTTTCTCTGTAACATTTTTTTAGGATATATATATATATATATATATATATATATATATATATATATTTCTACTTTGGATGTTTTATACTTTAAATTGTAATCTCTTAGAAAAGTTCAAAAATTATGGGAATGATTAGTATGAATTTTGTCACTTCCACATCTCTTAATTTTTGTGTAGTTTATCATTTAGTATCCAATTTTGTTTATATTTCATTTCATACATATATATGTTTTAGACTACATAAGTTAAATAAAAGATATAGACACGAGTTGTTTGTGCTTTTGTATACACCATTTTTGTATGTTTTATTTTTTGCAACAAAGTAATTAAATGCAAAACATATACTCTCGTGCAATAACTCGCCAACGACACGATAAAAAGAATATAATTAATTTCACGACACTCTTTACAAAATAAAATCATTAAATTGAATTAGAATATTGCATTATGTGATTTGAATAATTAAGTAGTTTAACGACGTAGTAATGAACCATTAGAAGCCATAATAATTTTTGGTGAAATATTTAATTCGCTTATGCAAAAACTATTTGTGCCTACAGATCGAATAAATGTGAAAGTATATTCAGAACCGTGTACAAAATTACAAACAAACAGTCCGGCTAATTAAAAACCAGAAACAACAAGAAGACAAAAATTAGAATGTCAAGCATGCACTAATAAATTCTAACAGCCTTCTCAAAACACTTAATTATTGGCCAAACATAAATAAAATAAAATAATAAATCATTAGTATTTTCACACCTTCATTAGTAGAAACAAAAAAATTACATGGGATTCATCGATAAAATTCGATAGGATTAATGAGCATCATTAGCAGTACTTGGATGTAATGACACCCATACTCCAACAAAATTTCTACCTATTCATTTAATTACTATATATAGCTATTAATTGACACAAACAATGCAATTTATTTATTGCAATTTTCATATTAAGTATATGTATAAAACCAACGGCATAAGTCAGATTAAAACGCTACATTCCTCTAATTTTTTTATGATTGCAACATACGAAAACGATGCCCGACTTATTGGTTATTAATTAATCTAATTTCTTCGATTAAGACGTTATCACGACGAACGATTTTGAAATTCATAGGTGAAAAGAACTTTTATTAGAATTGTTTAGCAGACTATGCATTGATCAAGAACTAGTCAATATTTTGATGCCATCCTTCTACATTAATGTTTTAGACTAATTATTAATTAATATATTGAATAATATTATTGAATATTTATCTCAACAAAAACCAGGCTCCACAAGCTAAGAAACAAACAATGAGAGGCATATCATCATCACCCCCTATTATTTGTATTTAATCTGATTATTATTTTCTTGAATTTATTAATATTTTTGTTGGGATTTTTATTATTATTATTTTATATAGGGTTTGATCGAGGTTTTGCTTTCCTTTACACAATCTATAGACTTTTTGACTTAGGGAGTAAAGATGATCACCAAAAATGTGATATTAAAATAATATTTTAAATATATATAATATTTTGGGAAAATTAAAGTTTTCACCCCTCAGGTTTGCACTGGTTTCATATTTGGTCCATTGTGTTTCAATAAATTAACATTTTTTGTCATTTTCGTCAATTTACCGTTAGTTCGTCGGTATGGTAGTCATGGGAGCATGCTTGATTCAGGTAGTACTAACGGAAAATTGATGAGAAGGACTAAAAATATTGACTTCTTTAAACATGAGGGACCAAATGTATTTTTCAAAAATATAGGAGTCAAATGTGAAATAGGTATAAACTTGAGGGATGCAAAATGTATTTTCCATAATATTTCACTCCAAATTAAAATCAATCAAATTCGAAATAGTATTCCGAAAATCTTGTCTCCTGAGCCAATATTATATCTCTCTCTGGAAGTGCAATTTCTTGCGATGCGCTTTATGGTGTTGTACCATTCAGTCAACTGCTACCCTTTTGGGTAAAATAATACTTCGTGCCATGCAGATGTACAATTCGATAAAGCACGAACTCATGAGAGGCGTAGAAGTTGTTGATGCAGAGGATTTCTCCACTAGCTATCTTATCATCACCGGCCTTGTAAGAGGTGGGTCATATTTCATATATGTGTAATTATGTATGTATCAATTTTGTCAAGGTCTATCTACAATCAAAATAACATAATTATTGAAATATATACAAGGATTTGGTAAATATTTATTTCATAAAAAAAAATTGAATCTTAAATTATTTTTTAACTAATTAAATTGTTTCAAAATAATTTTTTTTATAAGAATTTAAGCACTTTCGATATGTTAAAGGCAGGCACTCGAATTTGTGTCACTGTTGCATTAAAGTGTTTCATAAAATAATAGTTTATTTATTTATTATTTCTTTAATAATTAATTATTGAACCCTGTGAAAATATTGGGCAGTGAAAATAGGTCCATTAAGTAGGCCAATTTGAGAAAAAAAGCCCAGAATCTTATTACTGGATTATTAATATAATGTACTGGATTATTAATATAATGAAGCCCAAAACATCTAATTAAGGACCATTAAGCCTAACAAAGGTTAGGTTCATCATTAAGCAACCAAAACGAGATAATTCTTATTAAATCGGCTTTTAATAATTTCTCAATAAATTTTAAAAAAAAAATTTAAAAGTGATGACATCTAAAGAATGTTAGATATTTATTAAATTTAAGCTCCACAAAAAGCCTAACCCTTTTTAAGTCACTTTCAAGAATTCAATACCTAAATCCACTAATCAAATGGATTACGTCTCTTGCATAAACAAATACACACTAGTTGATTAACATATATAATCCCTTTTTTTTTTAAATAAAGTAAAATAAATAAAATCAACTTATCAATGTAACCTAAGACCAACTGTAATTACTTTTTGCAAATTTTTACTATATATAGTTTTATAATGTTAATTAATTAGATGAGTGGGGGAATAATCTCTTTGTTACCCTCGACCCCATTTAAATTTTGTCAACTCATTATTTTATTATTCAAGTGTTCAAAGTTAATTAATATACCAATATTTATGATGTTAATCATAATCATGAAATTAATAAGCAGCCATAAATCTTGAGAAAATGGGAGGATTACGCCTTAATTGGATAGGTATAAATAAATATAATACATTTTTATTAAGTTTAATATGACTAATTCATACTATGAATTATTATTATAAAAAGGAGAAAACAAATTAATTTGAATTAAATAAAACTTGAACTAGATCCCTACTTTAGTTTGTGGTCCTATAATGCTTTTCTACTTGATTAGAGGTCTAATATTATTTGTTTAATTAATTAATTTTTTTGTGAACCACATCTATGCTGAATAATAAAAAATAATTTGGATGTGGATAGTGGTAATATTAAAGTTACAAATTAAAATAATAAATGGAATATATTCTTGAACTACATACTATGAATTAATAGCCAATTTGGAGGAATTAATTCACTTAAAAGATTGAAGAGGTATCTAAATTACTTTGCCTATAAAATTATCCATTCACATAAATTCCCAGTCACTGGTTTCTAAAAGCTGACCTTTTTATTTTTTTACTCAATCTTTTTTTTCTCTTCTTTTAATTAAATAAAAACTCATGGAATATTAAAGTATATGTGAGGAGATATTTTTGAAGCATTGTGCTTTGTTTGGATCTAGAATCTAGATTTCGGTGAGAAATAAGAATATGAAAAATTATCAGAACAAAGTACAGATCGAGTGAATTAATTAGTGTCAATGTTAAATAATAATTTGAATTAATGAATTATTATTCTTCAATAATATAATATTTGAGTTTTGTTATATCTAACGAGTACTGAGATGCTATACCCGGTGAAATACACCGAGGATTTACTAACTGTTAATGTGGTGAAATAACTATAAACCATATCTAATTAATGCATCAAAATTAATTATGGTTCCCTATTCAAAGGACATAGTTATGGAACGAGTATATATCATTTGAAATAATTTATTTAATTAATAATATTAAGGCAAAATCAATGTCATTTTCTCAGATGATGAGTTCTTACATAAATAATTAAGGTTTTAATTTTGGGTAATGTGTCTCACACCCCTCAAACAAAACTTAATTAGATATAAGTGACAAACTCAAATAAAATATTTTAACTACATCCCTATTTTAAAATAAAAATTGATATACATCCTTTGATTTTTATTTAATCCAAAAATACCCTTACAATACCTTATAAAAGTCACGTGTCTTTTTTTTTGTTATTTCTTTTTCTCTCTTCCCCCTCTCTTTCCCACGCCGCTCCACATGGCCGCCGCTCAACATATTCTCTCTCTCTCTCTCTCTCTCTCTCTCTCTCTCTCTCTCTCTCTCTCTCTCTCTCTCTCTCTCTCTCTCTCTCTCTCTCTCTTCCCCCGATCCCTTCCTCCTTTTATTTCTTTTTAATTATAGTGAAATAATGAAGGCTATGATGGTGGTTATGGTAGATGGCGGCGGCTATGATGGCGGCGGTTATGGTAGGCGACGACGGCTATGGCGACGCTCGGTGTAGGGGTTGCATCGGGAAGGTCTGTGATGGCAGGCTCGTTGTTTGCTTGCAACCAAAGGGGATGAATCGTGAAGTTGGGTCTGGGTGTGGGGGGATGGAGAGGGGGAGTCGCGGTGGTGGTGGTGGTGGCGGCGGATCGGATTTAGGGTTTGTTGGGGAAAATTTAAGATTTTTCGATTTAGATGTCTACAAATGTCTATGAGTGTCTATGGTGTGTGACGGCTAGGGTTGAAAGGAGTTAGGGTTTTCAAGATATCGACGGGTTACTACAGATTACTACGGTTTCTATGGGTTTCTGTAGATGCCTACCGCAAAAAAAAATTAAAAAAATCATAAATTTTAATTTATCTAGGAAAGAAGGGAAAAAATAGATTTTATATAATGAAAAAATACAAAAAAGAAAAAAAAAAGAAAAAAAAAGAAAAAAGAAAAAAGAAAAAAAAAAACCATAATTTTTAATTTTATGTAGAAAAGGGGAAGATAGATTTTTATATAATGAAAAAGTATGAAAAGAAAAATGTGTTCCACGAAAAAAAAAGTTGATACAAACCTAAAAATGTTAAATAATACCATAGTTCATCATAGTATATTTATAATGTGCTATAATTTTGAATTTGTGAGTAGGGGGGACATGTTTGGAATAAATTTAATAAATGATGTGAAACAAATTGTAACTAGACTTGTCATTTAGTTTTAATACAATTTGTCAACAAGGACTTATATCTTAAGACCCCTTTAATTTTACACTGCATCATCAAGCTGATTGTGACTTCCAACATATATTAATTATTAATTAAGTTAATTTAATTAGACCAATAATTGACTTACCTAAATTACGTACCATATCAGCATATATACTCCTACTCATTGTGCCTTCCATAGTTCCATATATGTCTAGAAGGCAAGCCATTTAAATTATTACATAATGAATATTGAATTTATATTTTTTTCTCCCTTTTAATTCGATTTACTAATTATAACGCGAATTTTCGTATTTTAGTCGATGAATGCTGTAAGAAGAAATTAATCTTCCACTTAGATATATATATATATGTATGAATCATCAAAACATAAATAAATAAATAAATTTATGTACAATAATAGTATAAATTGTGCAAATTAATTAAAGCTAAGTAACATTAGGTAATCCAACATAACTAGGGTTTTGATTTGGATAAAAAATTGGTTGTTTCTAGGTTTGGTTTGGTAGCTTTCACACTGCCCACAGGCACACCTGTGCACTAGAACAGTCCATAAGTTGCAGATTAATAACAACATTATTTAAACCAACAATTAGTAAACTAATTACTATTAATTGATGGAAATCATGTAGGGGGGAGGGGACCATAAGAAGTGTACTATATATAATTGAATAATTAAATTGCAAACTCCTTTTAATTTCTTAATTAATTACTTCGTGTTTAATTAAGGGTTTTTAATTAGGCTGCTAAAACACTTTATAATTAATATTTATAACAAGAAAAAAGGTGACCTAACTGATGATCTGTACTATCCATGGAAAACTTGCCTGCCACTGTATTAATTCCCTCTTAAAGCATCTTCATATTTATGCTTGAAATTACATTATAATTACATATAAACTTCTCCTATTGAGATGATTAATTAGGTTCTTTTCCTTTTTTTTTTTTTTTTAATTTTTTTTAATTTTTTTCAGAAAAGAAGATTGATCTGTAAATATGATGAATTAAATCTGATATTTAAGCTATTACTTTTGAATAAATGTAATTAGGAGCTAAAGTGAAAATTTATGAAGAAATCCACTAATATCTCTTCTTACAGTTCACAGTTAAAATCTCAGAAACCCTAATATTTGTAGTAATTAATTAATTACGAACAACATTAAAAATCAGCAAGTGTGCTTACTGTAATGTAATAGCAATTAATTAATTTCATAAATTAATATTAATACGCGCATATGACATCAATTTAACTTTTTTTCTTTCTCGATCGTCTATATAAAGTCAAGTGTAAGGACAAGATGAAATTAAAACACGCAACGTGTCTGTGTTTTAGAGGATCTATATTTACAAAAAAAAAAAAAAGAAAAAAGAAAAGAAAAAAGAAAATGGTGGACAAACAAGAAACACATCTGAAACACAGTAAGAACAACTACGCCGCTCTATCAACCTCGGCAGATCACCACCGTTACGAGACGACGTACGATGAATCGAAGGAGCAAGATCGTCTTCTGCCGATAGCAAATGTGGGGAGAATAATGAAGCAGATTCTCCCACCAAGCGCCAAAATCTCGAAAGAAGCCAAAGAAACCATGCAGGAATGCGCCTCCGAGTTCATCGGCTTCGTCACCGGTGAAGCTTCCCACAAGTGCCACAAGGAGAAGAGGAAGACCGTCAACGGCGACGACGTTTGCTGGGCTTTGTCCAATTTGGGATTCGACGACTATTCCGATTCTTTGAAGAGGTATTTGATTAGGTATAGGGATGCCGAAGGCGAGAGGGCTAATCAGAACAAAGCTGCTGGCGGCGGCGGCGGCAGCGGCGGCGGTGGTGATAGGGATGATGAAGTTGATGCTCCACCACTACCTTTCAGTTTCAATCTCATGGATAAGAGAAGAAATTAGGGCTTTGTAGAAGATTAATGTTTTGTAGGTAAATTAATTATATCTTTAGTTTAATTAATTTCTACCCCCATTTTATTTTTGTTAATTAATTTTTGTGGGATTAATTTTTTTATGTTTTTTTTGGATTCTGATTAGGGTTGAAAAGGGATCAAGATCCAGTGGGAGTTTCCTCTTCTTTGTGTGTGTGTGTGTGAGTGTGTGTGTGACTGTGTGTGGTTTGCTGAGTAATTGTCGAGTGGTTTTGCAGGAAGCTGCATTAATATAATGTAATGTTTTTGTACTCGCTTGAGATTTGGGATTTAAAGAGGTGATTATTAACTATTATGTATGTTTTAGTGTGTGATAATTACTTAATTAGTATACTGCTAATTAGTGAGTTCATTAGCTAGGGTTTATATAGTCTATACTCTATACTATTTCGATTAGATCCAAGTCAAAGCAACACATATATTTGAAATATACATATATATATATATATATATATATATTTGAATATATGTATCTATATATTGTATCATACCTTTTTTGAAACCCTAGATACCGGGGAACACGTTCTTGATTGCACCCAAAATGCTGGTTTTGTCACAAACCTAGCTTAATTAGCTAGGCAGCCTAGACCTATCTTCAATATAAAATTAGTTAATAAATTAAATAAACCAAATTAATTAGGTAAATCCAATCTTCCCACATGTGTGGGTGAGGCATGCATCAATCAATTATGTTGGGAAAATGAAGTAATGGATAGAATTGACAGAAATTTGACAGCCAAGTGGATAAATAATTAATGAAAATATATATAAATCAAGTATCAACCTAGTTAGCTACTTTCTGGGGTTTCTCCAAATGTAATTTTAGTATCAATCAATTTGGAGGAAAGGACAAAATTATTTCTCAAGATTAGTTCAATAGCTCTTAATTTACAGGGTTAATTTGATTAAGAAAGAGAAATAATAATTATAAAAAAATTAACGAGTTAATTATTAGATAAATAATTTATAGAAAATAGTTTAATATCAAATATTTAATTCGGGCCAACTTAAAACGGATTACATCGGGGGCGAGAAATTAGATAATTGATAGTAAATCACAGGCCCAACGGGCCCAATTGGAGCCCATAATACGGCCCGGCCCATAAGAGATCTGCACCGACCATCAGGCGATCTGTCCTGTGAATGTTTTACAGTAGTTTCCATTGTGAACTATAATCGCTGTTTGGTTTTTTCCTGGAAAGCAACTTTAGCCATATAAATGCTTTCACGAAGTTTCGCTCTGTACCAAATTTAGGGCGGGAAATTTCACTGTTTCAATATTTTTTCACCAGTTTCGCACAAATGTGGAGAAGAAACGAGCTCAGAGTACGTAATTTCACTCGTAATTCATCGATTGCTGTAGTTGTTTGTTCTGCGCAGCGTTTGTTTGTTTATTCGTTTTGCAGCAAACTAAAAATTGTTTCCCTCGAAGTATAGTTTGGAAATAACGCGCAAAAAAACGAAGATTCTGATCAGAGCATTTCTGGTAAGACTTGGATAGCTTTGGATCTGGTGAAAAACTGTGATGATTAAGAAACTTTTATTGTGCTTGGTGTTTGTTTTGGTTATTGCTATGCTACTTGTTAAAATTGAAATTGGGGATCTGGTGTGCTTGTTGTAAGGTTTTGATTGTGATGTACTCTTTCGATTTTCATTATGAAGCTGCAATTCATACGGTTGATTCTGCTGAATCTAGAATCGAACTTAATTATATTTCATTTTTTTTTTCTTCCTGATGATCTGGCAGAAGAGGAGGATGATTTGGAGGGTGAGTGGCCAGCAAATACAATCTCCTTGGGTGGAGCTGGAGACAACAAGGTAAATGCGCTGATCAACCATGTATGTAGTGATCATATGTTTATTTCGGTCTTTGGTTGCATCTTTCTAGTTTCTATTGGTAGAAATAAGGGTGAAGCGGCAATTTATCTTTGTTTCTTTAATGAAATTTATGAAGCAAGTAGTGCGATTTAATTGCCTTTTTCTTCGATGATTGATATTTATATTGGCAGGGCGCAATGCAAGTTCTCTCACAGCTTGATATACTC